TTTAAATATTAATAATTATCAATAATTATTACATAATTTTGTTGTAGTGTAAATTATATTTAAGCAATATGCATATTCATTGTACTAACAGTAATTAACAATAAAACACCATCTAGGGAGAGAATACAAACAGTTAGCAAATTTACAAATTTAGATCTTAAATCATTAATAAGGAATTAGACACCACTGTCTTAAAAGACAAAAGAAATATAAACGTGCTATAAGAAATATTTTAATTTTATTGCTAAATTTTTTTGAATTTTTTTGCTAAATGCAATTACCAAGTTCTTCACTAATTGAAATGAAAGAGAAAGGCATCTATCACAAGAGACTTAAGAGCCTGTTTAGTTGAATTCAAAGATACATTTAGTTATTATATGCATAAATAAAACAAACTAGCTGCCATCCTAATTAAGGAAAATAAAAGATTAAGGGATTGATTAAATTGATTTTAAATCTAGCATTAAAGTTGATTACCTTTCACTGAATGCTTCATGAGTAGGAAGACATCCATAATTCACAATTTTCACTGTGGGAGTTACGCAGTATTTATAATTTATGGTCCTCTCTCCTCTAAATAGATTTCAGTAAAATGAAATGACAGTTCCTCGTGGGAACAACCATCTAATCAATAGCAAGGGAGTGTATAGACACTACAGAAAAATTGTCATTACCATTACAAACATACTTTTACATTGCCCAAATTTCTAAACATCCATTTAAAGTGAAATGGTGTACATCCAGGGCAGGAACAAGGTGGCCCACAATGCACAGCTTAAAAGCAGTCCATCTTTTTCTAAGATTTTGCTATATGTACATTAAGAAATTTTATTTATTTTCACAGTTACTTAATGCTGTATAGATAGAATACGCTTGTAAGAAAAGGGGAGTCATTATAATCAGTCTGCAATGCAACCTGCATTTTATATAGATATAAAGTAGATATAAGTAACCATCAGTCAGTCATTTAAAAACGCTTTTGTCGTGATTATCTATTGGAACTGCAGCAAGTGTTAAAAAATTCCCATGATGAGGAACCCGCAACTTGCTCCTTTGTACCTACCCACTCAGTTAGTTCCTGAGACCTAATGACTCTTTTGAAAGGCAGACAAAATTTTTTAGAAGTCATTTAGAAAATGTCAGTTGTAAGTAACAATATGCCTGTGACAGAAAGTTCCCAGAAAAATCCTAAGTAGCATTGGTGAACCAGATCGTTTAAGTGCCAAACAGTTCTTCATCCTTACACGTCTACTAGGAGTATTTACTGTCTTTAGACAGCAACAAATAGGTATGACAAGAGGATTAAAGAACCACAATTTGAGAGACTGCAATTTGCACTTTTGTTGGCTTGTCACAATCTTACTGTTACTTCAATACTGCATTTCAACAGATATGGTACATGATCACTGTATGTTAATCATAATCACTGGAAACAGCATAGATGCTAATAATTACCATAACACGGATGATTATAAATTTAGAGTAACTTCAGACACAAGAGTTATGTTCGTGTACTTACCGGAGATGCATGTACCTGTGTTATTCTTAACTGGTTTTCCAAATCTTGAACTTTATTTTTCAGTTCTGTGTTTTCAGTTTCTAATTCCTGGATCTACAAAGCAAGTGGTTATTGCAACAGCTATTGGGATATTCATTCATTTCAACAACAACATTCACTAAGAATAAGTTTTATCTGAGATCTGGTGATTTAGAAGCAATTTTTAAGTAGTTATCTGATTACAAAAAATAATTAAACTTAAATTCCTGTATCTTCCATATTTCAACCTTGCTCTTCTCTTTGATGACCTTGCAAGATGGCAAAAAATAGTTTTTTTAATGCAGTTCTTAGCCATCTAAGAATAATGCTGGAAATTATGCTGTCACGGAAAGCAGATAAAACAAATACAGTAGCATGTTCTTTTATCTCTTTAAAAAATATAGTTCAGAACTTACTCTTTTCTGTAAACCTGCAATTTGTTTCCTTGTTTCAACATCTTTTCCTCCGGATTCCAGAAATTTCCTGTAAGCTAAGTCAAATGCTTGACCAATTGTTAAAGTTATCTCTTCCGCCTTTACATAAAACATAAGACTGAAATTAGTATATTGTAAAAATTTTATATAATTATTTTCATTTCAGATGATCACAAAATACTTTACACCATATATCATGTTCAAAGGGTTTGCTTCATCCATCAAGAAGTCAACACTGCAAAGGAGCATGGGAAACACTCTTCAGCAACATACTCTGACACAAAATGCTATGAATACAGCTTAAAAATACTTCAGATAAAGAAGGGAGACTGAACAGACAGAACACAATTAGCTAATTTTAGCATAATTTGTATAAATTATGCCTCTAATTTCTGTAAATACAGATAGCATGCTGCAGTATGTCTTTTTCTGATGATTTCTGAAACAAATACAGGCTTTTCTATCATTAAATAAATTGTTTTAATTTTAATGGGTTAAAGTTTTCATGATAATGGATGTTTTGACCTCTATTGCTTTTAAACTTATTTTCAACACTTATTTTTAGAAGTCCTATAAAATCTCAATCAGCATAGCATAGATAAATGTATTTACCTGTGCAAGTATTTCTGATTACAAAAATCCAACCAAACAGAATTTGCATTTATATGTGCAAAATATAGTAATTTAGCAGTGCTATGCTGATTCGCATCGTATTTTATGATGTGTATATACAATCCATACAGAAAATCTACTTTAAGAAAACAGAGATAAAAATAAGCGTACAAGAACCTGATTGAGTACACCAAGGTTTCAGAAAAAAACGCAGACTTACAGGAGGCACTAATAAAACGTGAATACACGGATATGCCATTTGCCTTAGAACTTCAGTAGAGAAAGTAAACACAGTAATCACTTTATTTTTTTTTTATTTGGCAGGGGAACAACAAAAAAAATTGGAAAAAACATTGATCTGACTAAAGCTAAACTAGAATTTTCTCTTCTTTATTGAAATGAAAACCTGAAATTGGTTGTTTCTCATGAAAGCAGAGCATTCTGCTCAATGCCAAGAATATTCTTCCTTTACTACCTGTAAGAACACGAAGGGCTGGATGCACAAAAATGGTACAGAACGTGATGCCCCCAGCCTTTTATCCATCAGCGCAACAGTAAAGTCATTCAGTAGAGGTGTGTGAATACCTGAGTTCTACAGGAATGGGGAATTAACCCCTCTATGTTTTTACTGTGAAAAAAAAACATATGGCCATCTTTATTAAAAAAAAATCACAAGTTAGACTGAATTAGACCAAAAAAGCTGGACTAGGACTGCTTTAGAGAATAACTGTTTATGTTAGTAAAAGAAAAGTGTAAGGGACACTAGAAGTACGCAGTCCTATCTTCTTGGAAGGATGAGGGTTGGCTGAAAGGAAAGGTACCAACTAAAGTGGGATCCTTTGAAATCTGACAGTCCTAATGAACAAAGACTGAAATTGAGGAAAGTAGTACAATAAGTGGAATATCAGGGTAGAGAGAAGAAGAAATGGTGCATTGGTTTGGAATAGAAATGCTACTAGTGTGCAGAGACTGCAAGGGCAATTTAAAATCATGGGAATATGTGAAAAAGAGACACGGGATAGAAATTTCAAGATAAATGAACAGATGTGTATAGCAATTCTGAACAGTATCTACTGAAGGCACTGGAGCAATGCAGGTGAACAACAAAATCACCAGAAACACTGTGAAGTAACACACAATGCTATATAATTGCATATAAATAGAAGTGAATATGCATCTTTTTCTAAAAAATGTATTACTTTCTTAGTATTTCTTTTGTATGATATCTCAGCTACTTCAGAATAAATCAAAAAGAGAGTCTCTACATTATAAAAAAACATAAACATCAATTTTTGGTGTTCATTCCAGTGGTTTTTATTTGTTAATTACTTTCTGCCAGGACAAACACATGACCCCGTTTCAGCTACACACCATTTTCTTCATTTCCTGTCCTAAAGTATTATTTTTTTCTCTGCTATTGCACATTTTTGAACAGTTGCCTTGTTCTAGCTCAGACATGAGAGAATGTCAGTGGTTGGTGGAAAGAATTCTCTAGTAGTGCATCACGGCATTAACAAACTTGAGAAAAGTGGTGGGGGTGCGGACAGAGAAGGGGGAACCTTGCTGTAAAAAAAAAAAGAAAAAAAATTGGAAAAAAAAAAGGAAAAAAAATTGGGGGGAAAAAAAAGAAAAAAACCCCAAACATCTGAGGCAGATACATCAGCAGAAGAGCCTGTGAGGGTCTCTCAGCCACCGGGTTGCAGCAATCTCTGCAAAACAGCTGTGCAAACATTTAAACTTTGGTGGGATGCAGTCTGTTCTCTGACAGTATTGCAGATGCTTGGCCTAGGGTATCGAGCTGGGTAGTAAGAATTGTCCCGGAAAACCACCTTAGAAGAAAAAAGGTCGTCTTCAAATTAATGCATCTGAGTTACAAGACAATATATTGGCATGAAAGTTTATATCAAAGTGACCCCAATTGAAAGGCAGGCTACCTGCCTTTATTAACCATTCCTGTTTTATTTCAAAGTAGACCAGCCAAAGTCTGTAACAGTCACCCAAATTCTTTTAAAGCGTCTTGCATACTTACACACTTTTCACTGTCAAATACATAGCACAGATGCTTATTTGATTCTGAGTCTTTGCATATGAAAGTAAATATTCTCTTGTCAGTTTTATCATCAGCACAAAATGATATCCTATGGAGTTGACAGTTGTGCTGGACTTCCTGCAAATAAAAAGGAAGATTATTTTCAAAAAATTACTATACTTGCTTAGGATAAAGATGCACAAAGTACATCTCTGGATTTCCTCATGTACATAAGAGCAGGCAAGTTGCAGTAACATTTTTGAATGTCTCTCATTGTATATGAGAGCACCCAAAAAAGGACTTAAAATAGGAAGTTAGCAAACTTATCTCCTAACAAATGTTCCCATTTTTACTGAATGTAAGCAGGAAGTTTTTATTTGGACAGCATTTATCTGGAAGTGTTTATTTGGACAGTAATTTCAGTTCTAGAAAATTGGTTTTACTGTTGCTTTCCATCCCTGTGCCATTTATTTAGGGACTGATTATGTAAAACACTCTGTTCTTTTTCCAGGTGCACAACATGTTATCCAAATACAGGGGCACAGAGAAATAAATTAGACATCTAAATAATTGCTTACTTAAGGTGTAACATAAACAGCTTTTAAACATTATTATTTGCATATTTTCGATACTATATTTCACTTTCCATTAAAAAGCATGTTCCGGCTATTTTAAAAAGTTGCCGTGGCAATACTCTTCAGCTGAGAGAGCTTGACAAGACTGAAATAAACTATCTCAACTTGGGTTTTTTTGTTGTTTTTCTTCAACAAGTCTCTTCTTGGTATTTTATTTTATTTGGCTTATTACATGGGAAAGCAGTATTTGCTTTAAAGGAAAATATGCAGTTTAGATGTGAACTATTATCTATTAAAAAAAAGAAAGTTTCTGTGCAGCACTGGGGTTCCCAGATTGCTGTAAGCTCATAAACATGGGTATGCCCTCTCTGCACACAACCATTTATCAAAAATATGTACCGTATGGGCAATCTTTTCCCCTTGCCCCAACTGGGTTCCTTTTCTCAGTCTTTACAGCCATTCTTCTTTACATCCTATTTCTCCTATGCCCCCAAATCTCTCTCACATTCAATCTCTTTCTGTTGTAGCTCTTTAACAGTTACATATAATAACACATGCTTGTTCTGGTTCTTTTAGGTTTATAGATCCACCTAACTATGTATCTTTTAAGGACAGAACCACTTTTCTATAATCCTCCTTTTTTGAGTGCCAAGTATAGAATCAAGTCCTGACACATGAGCAGGCCTCCTGTTCCTACCACAATTAATAGTCATCACATGAATATAAACCAATATTCCTCTGTAATATTATTGAAGTGATTTGTTTCAAAAACACGCAGAAAAAAATATTGTAATTGGCGATGGTAACACGGTATTTAAGTCATTTCCTAAAGCATCTATAAATTGTGCAAAAAGAAGGAAAACTTGATTCAAATTTACACTTACATGTAGCTTTAAGAAACGAAGTGGGGGAGAGTTGATTACCATTTTAGTTGTAATAACAGCATTGCTAAGAGATTAGAATGTTCCTATTCCCCCAGGAACTTCCATCCCACAGCTTTCTGTTAATCTCTGCAGGAAGAGTTAGGAAGACTAACATATTTTGACATTTGAAACTGCTATTTTAGAACAGTTTTTGCCAGGTTATGGGGTTTAGTACCCCCTTCTGCCCTATCACATAAGGAATATGCAAAAAATGCAATTAAAGTTGACATGGATATTTCTCGACCCCTCTGCTTATGAACTGTTGAATTGTGATTGTATCAAGAGTCTGAAGTGAAAATGGGTTGCAAGTAGATATAGTCTTGAACTAACGCTACCTTTTCTCAAAAGGCAGTATCACTGTCTGAATGGTAGCAATTATGCCAGAATTAAGAAGCAGTAACCAACAGTTCATTCAAATCCAACATTCAACATATGTATACAAGATTTAAGAGCACTGAGATGTTAAGAATTGCTGACTATTGAATAAATACTTTTTAGTTTGATTATATTTATCTCATTATTCCTCTTTGAAGTCTGTGAGGAGGATGTTTTGCTTACTATGTAACCCCTTCCAAAACGCCAGAGCAAACAAAGGAACAGAAAACCCATCCATGGGATGACTCAATGGACGTAACTGCTGAAAAGGCAGGAATTGTCACGCTGTGCCAGATGAAAAGCCTACAATAGTGCTTATGGCCTGCTACATGAAGTTTACAGAGAAATGGGTAACACATCTGAGAAACGTATGCATTCTAGGGAGGGGGGATACAATAAAAAAAATTTAAAAACACAAGAAAAGGAGGAAAAAAATGAACAGGGTAAGGAAAGAGAGGTGCAATTCCAAAGCAGCAGTATGAAGTCACTGCAGAGTCACTTGCAGAGTCACTGCAAACAAATTGTCTCCTCATTCACCTGCAACCACCTACATGTGGGCATCTACACAACGGTGACCAGTTGGAAAGTTGTTTATCATATGCGTTGTTAACATTTATTTACCACAGTGTTTTCATCTTCCTCAGAGTTTAAAAGTTCTGGCGTGAAAAGATTAAAAAAATTAAATCCCACATTAGCTACAGTCTGTATTTTGGAGTATCATGTACCTTCCTGGGAAGATGTCACCCATGTGTTGTAACAAGAAATGGTACTTTAGAAGACTTTTCCATCAACAGAATGGCCTTCATTATAATACTTTTTAAAAATATAAAACAATAAAAACATTAAAAACAGTTAAAACAATATTTAATTACTAGTTTAGCACCATAAACATATAAGCCTCTTACCTTTGTTTTTGGATCTAGAATTTTTACACCATAGATTGAGATTTGTAATTCAACTTTGGGAGTCTTCTGGCCTTCAGATTTCTTGATATGTCTTGCAAACTATAAGACGAAAAATACAACAACAATCACATTAACAGTAAGTTTTCTTTATTTTTTTGTATTACTTCTCATTTCCTCTCAACTCCTTCCACCTGAAGTTATTTCCTTCCTTCTTCAAAAAGGTCTTATAAACAGCACCTACCATTCCCAAAGTTGCAGTTGGGCACAGAACAGCATTTCTGACTGCACCAGGGGAGGTTTAGACTGGACATTAGGAAAAATTTCTTTACTGAAAGAGTGGTCAGGCCTTGGAACAGGCTGCCCAGGGAAGTGGTTGAGTCACCATCCCTGGAAGTATTTAAAAGACGTGTAGATGAGACGCTTAGGGACATGGTTTAGTGGGCATGGTGGTGTTGGGTTAACGGTTGGACTTGATGATCTTAGAGGTCTTTTCCAGCCTTAATAATTCTATGATTCTATGATTCTACTATAGAATATTCCTATAATTCAAGAAAAAAATATTTTAAAATTACTTAGCTGGTTCTCTTGAAACTTTTATCTGCTGTTTATGCATTTAATTTAAGCTTTTGCATGAGATTTCTAGGAAAACAGTAGATACATGAACACTTTCAGACAGTTTGTCAACTGCTTGGTTGTTGAGCAGTGAACATTGTTATGTTTTCCACATCCCACTATTTCTACACTCCTGTACACATGCACAGAGGGTACTTCCCGTATGTTCCTCTAAGGAAATCAGTTCTTTTAAACAGGTTCAGTGTGAAAGCACTATAGCTGTCAACACCTAAGAAATACTTGGTCTCTTCTATCATATTCTCAGGATTTATTTGCTAACAGTTCACTAGATGATGGCTAGACAACATTTCATATGACTGGGTCTGGTAATGTGTTCTATTCAATACATTTTCATCCTTTTATATCTCCTTTTCTAGCTGCTAGATCTGACTTGTCTTTCTCTCATGAACACTGCATATAAAATAAGCAAAGTATCTCAAATTTGCTACTGCATGGCAGTTAAGAAGTGTCATGAATTTGTGTAACTTTATTAGCAAAGATACGGAATTGCTCTATATTTTGGTCTGTTACCAGCCCTTTTCCTCTCAAGGCTTTGACAGCATGGAATGGTATTTTCAAATGCACAAATAAGGATGATGACTCACTGAAGGCTTGAGGAGTTGGAGTGTCTGCTTCACAGCTATATGTTTGAACACAGCAACCTCAAGCTTTCTCCCACTCAAGTATAATTGAGCGCATAATTCATCATCAGTACAATTAAGCTATACAAAAAGTCAATGAGGACAATGACTTTTAGTGGCATAAAGAGTCTAGGTTGCCAACAAAGGTGCTAATCTACCTTAAGAAGGGTTAGACCTGGAAGACAGAAGCCTGAATTACCTTGTGATTGTATTTGGTTGTAGCCAACTGAAACCTCCCCCACAAACACCTAAACCCCTGATTTTAATTAATTATTTATTTAAGTGAGAGTTGAGAGTTTGGTTTTTTGCTCTGTCCCTACTCCTATGCCAACTAGTACTTGGGAAAGCTTTCCATGAACTCAATTTGCACAATATGACTGTCTCCATCTATTTTATTTCATCTTGCTTGTAAGCAGCTCCGTTCACGGCAAATTATTAACTAGTTTTAAGAACCACCCTAAAAGCACATAATTAACCTGTTTTTCCCTGCCTCCCAATTTTATTCCTCATTTTGAACGCACACTTATTAAAAATTTTAGTAACGAAACATTAATTTATAATTAATCCTATTAACTTCATACAGTAACATGACCTACCCAAACAGTTTATTACTGATTAATGTATCACGTTAGCTGATAAGTATCACATGCTTCACAAATTAGTTAAAAAAACCCAACAAACCAAAAAAACAAACAAAAAACCCCACCTAAACCACGCTATGCTGTTCTCAAAACCAACTCTTAAATCTAAATACCCATTTTGCATTTCAATAGCTAGCATTGCTACAGTCACTGGCCAAATTTTTTATGAAGGTTTGTACACGATGACTTACTAGTGGAAACCAACTAGTCAAAAGTCAAGCAAATCTAACATAACTTCTAGTTCTGCCTCTTTTCAGTATCATGTATATAGCTCTTGCAAAATACGCATCCTTTTCCTGTCCTCCTATCTATCTTCAAGCCCATTTCTCACGTATTTAGAGTATACTTTGAAAACAGTTTAATGACTATCCCCATCCCCTTATTTTAATTAAGGTGGGTCATCTCATACACATCTTTTTATTTTAAAAAAAGCATTTTATAGAAAATAAAATTTAAAAAAACTAATCACTGGTTTACAGGCATTTTGGCCAACAACATTTCTTGACTTTCTAGGACAATTCGAATTTGCTACAGGAAAAAAATATTTTTTCTTTAATAAAAATCACTAATTAAACCCCCCCAAAACTGACTTAAATTTTATACTGTCAATTAAACCTGTTTGGTTCTTAAGTGTCTGCTTTAAAAAATAGGAAAATGATAGGTCAATCAATGTTTTATTAGCAGATCTTTTTCTACGATGAATATAAAACTTATCATCTTTCAGATCATTTTCATACATTTACTCAACATCCCCACCCCACCAGCTTTCCTTTCTGATTTGTAATTTGATTATGTCCTTTTATTGGGTAAAACTTTGAGGACATATGCGGTCCCTTTTCATAGTACAACAGGGCTTTGTGTTTGGCTCACTTTGCTACGCGTTAAATGGGATGACCACAAAACCCACAGATCACCTGGACAGTTTGAGCATCTCAATTTCCAATGTAATTTACAGTGCACAGAAACATACCTATGCAATAGATAATCCTGGGGCACACCTCAATTTGGAACAGCCTTGAAAATGAGTGAACCCTGGCTTTTTGGAAATGTCCCTTTATAAACAAGATGCACACAAATATTTCTGTGCAGTAATGAAGAGGAGGCATAAATAATATTTGATTTCACTGAGTTAAAGCCATAGTGTATGTTGAGAATGATGATGAAATGCTTGGTTTCACCTCATCAGAGTTCCGAACAACAGCTACAACATGAAAACTTTCTAAAATAAGTAGATCTGAATAACTTGCACGAGTTTTAGAACAGCTGGCCAAAGCTTGCTCCAAGTAGTCAAGAAGTCTTACGACACTGCGGAAGTTCCAGAAGATAACTCTGTGCCAATACTAAAAAAAGGGTAAACAAAATGACCCTACCACGTCTCTACTCTCAAAAGGCATAAATCAAGTTCAAGAACTAGAGAATTCAAGTGAAATGAAATTAATGATAATCAATATGAATTTTACAAAAAATGCAGCTTGTCAAAATAGACAAAGCATTTGACTGAGTTTTGCATGCCATTATATTTAGGAAATGAAGCAATACAAAGAAAGTATTAGTTAAGTTAGTTACATTAGTCTCCAGATGCAGTTATAAACAGGAAATTGTCATTGGGAAGATATGTTTCTAATGTATCCCATCAGGGTTTATTTCTTAAGCATGACATTATTGAACAATGACCAGGAGGAAAGTAATTACTGATAAAATCTGCAGGCAGAAAAAATAAGAGGAAAAAGTGGGGAGAAAAGTAACTAATGATTTGAAATCTAAAATCATTACAGAGGAAGCTTGCAGATCACAACGGCTTGATGGAGGGGCAAATAACACAGAGAATACCTCACCAACCAGAACACACAGATTGCCTGTACGCAAACAAACCATCTCTGTTGCAGTACCAATTTTGCAAATCATACATATGGGAACAAACTTTCTTTCTTGGGAGACTACCCTGTGAAGATGGAACTAAGAAATCTTGATGTCACGGTAGACTTTCTGCTAACTGTGGACTCTTCTCATGAAGCTACGCTTGGGAAGATTAATGCAATCCTTGGGTATTTCAAAAAGATCCTTGAGATGACAACAACGGCTGCACTGCATCAGCTGCTTGTGAGAAACTACTCAAATTTTATGTTCTGAGGTTTTCAAATGCAGCAGGATGTTGACAAAATGGAGAAAGATCACGGGATAGTTGCAAAAGTTAGCAGATGACTGGAAACCCACTTTATAAGAAACTTCATCAAATCAAAAACAAGCTAATGGTGAAAGAAAAACAAAAAAGAATCTCTTCAACACAGACACCCAGAGAGACAAACAAGCTTTTTAATCAAAGGTTTACTGAGATACAGTGACTGAAAAGTACACATAGATAAATTCAGAAAATCTGGTGCAGTTACTTTCTTAAAGCTTTTCCTGCCCACTCCTTATTATGTGTAATAACAGATAACATACAGATACTGATCAGTAATTTCTTTTGTATCTGACCTTCTCTAGAAAGGTAAGTTCAGCTACCTCTCAAACTTGTGCAGGGTTTGAACAGCAAATCCTAACACTTAGTCAGGTATCAGCCAATTTGCATTTTTTTCTTCTCTCTCTTTTTCCTACTCATTCCTTCTACCTAAAAAGGACCCTGAGGGACCTCTGGACAGGGCAGATTTACAAACATTATTTTCTCCTTTCAGCACACATTTGAAACAAAGTAATATTTGTAACTCACACAGTAACAAGATTATTTAAGAGGGTAAAAATCTGTAGCCTCCCATTGGCATCAAAATGGACAATGATATAAAATTATAGTAAGTCACTGCATGGCTTGGGAAGAGATACGATGGGCCAAATTCTTAAGCTGTTAGCTTATACATATATTGTTCTCAGGCAAAACACCCAGATTTGGCCCAATAATAATATGAGCAGCTCGGTGGGATGGGCTAGCTTTTATTTAACTGCTTTGGAATTAACATCATGTTTTCCTTGAATCTTTTAGGGAAAGCAACAGATAAAAATAAATCTATCTTCTATGGTTTATTTAGCTTTAAAAATAAAGAAGAAAAAACTTCCATATATCTTGTCTTTTATTACTGTAGCAGGGAAAATTGCAAACTTTGAGACTCTTACTAAAATTACATTTGAAATGCTTATGCATCAAGTCTTAGCAAACTACAATCAGAGGGTTAATCAGCAAAAATAACATGAGGAAAAAAATCACGTTTTAAGA